CTTTACCATTTGGACCAGAAATCGTCAGCTCTAGTCCAGCAGAAATTAATTGTAGATGATAATTTTGCGCACAAAGTAGGAAGGAACTCCTAGTTGCCGTCAGAGCTTCAAAAAATGGTCAACTTCAGGTAAAATTCTTGCCAATCCGCAATCTGTGGTGGACCTGTACGTGAATTATGATTGTGATTTGACCGCGCACAACGTGTTTGAGAACCTGGTTGATGTGGTTTCAAAAACTGCTAGGACCTCCATCAATGAAAACTCTCCGGTCATTCAAAAAGAACGGCAAGTTGTTTTCTTTTCTGATCAGTTTTCTGATTGTTGATTTCTGATACACTTTTCATTCACTACTTTCTATGTTGTTCTATGAGTTTATTTTAAGAGAACGTGCAATGCGATTGCTCGGTTTGAGCTGTTTGACGGATCTTCTACAGTGTTTAGTGGATTGGTTCGATGTGTGTGAAACAACTAAGAATAACTTGTTGCGAGAACGTGCAGGTAACGAGTTTGATGTAAAATCTGTATCTATCCTCCGGTATGCGAAGTATTAACCTGACTGAATTCCCCAGTATACGAAGAATTAGCTAGATTGAGAGAAATCGGTCATTTCCGAAATGTGTGGGGCTGAAGAAGCCCTCCATCATGTCTGGGATCCGGCCCATCTTCTTTGGCCATGTGCCGTGATCCTATGGTCGATTTTGAAATTTTGTATTGCAGAAGCAGAAAGCGAAGATACCGATGAGCCGTCATCGTCTCCTACTGTGCACAGATTTGTTCACCTCAAGCAGAAGAAAGAGTTGATGGAACACGGAATCATGCTGTACGTTTAATTCCTTCGATTGTGGTCATAATTCCATCGTTCAACTGTGGCTGGAATATTCTTCAATTCTTTTATTCAGATTTTCCCGCAAACCAAAGCAGGGACTTGCATTCTTACAAGAACATGGTTTCGTTGGCACTGAGCCAAATGAGATTGCGGATTTTTTGATGAAAGAAGATCGCCTGGACAAAACTGTAGTTGGAGACTTTTTAGGAGATCCAGATGAGTGAGTGATTTTGATTTATTGAGCACCTGATGGGTAATCCTTGTGCAGATTTCGCGCGAGCCTTTTCAGAGATCACTTCGCTAAGAACTGTCGAAAAGCCGCGTTGTGGACAGTGAGATAATCTCTTTTTTTGGTTTTGCTTTTGAATTTCCTTAGAGCCAAAGTTAGTAAAAAACGTTGTTCCAATCTCACATCACGGCTTTTCTGGCAGCGCTATCAGTTTTAACAATAATTTTATGAGATGCTATAATATCGCACGTTGTGCACTTATTTTATATTTTTTGCACCATTTTGTCATTTTGTGGTAAAATGAAGAAATTGCGCTGACAGTTGCAATGGAAATATGTGAACTTTCATAAATCTAATTCTCTTGCAGGTTTAACAAGCAAGTCATGTATGCATATGTCGATGATATGGACTTTTCTTCCCGGGATTTTGTTTCTTCTCTTCGTTTATTCCTTGAGAAATTCCGACTACCTGGCGAAGCCCAGAAAATTGATCGACTTATGGAAAAATTCGCTTCTCGGTACTGTGAGTGTAATCCGAGGTGAGGCTTGCAATTTTTGAGCGATACTCTGAAGCTGTGAACTTAGTGTTATATTAACACTTCGTTGAATCCCGGCCAAGGTATTCCAAGATCATGACTAGATGCTCAGCTGGTGTGTGGGGTGTGTAATATGCTGTTGTATGATTATGTAATACACTGCTCCGCATAATTATAAAGCCACCTATGTTTTCTGCAAAATCTCTTTTCCTAAGATGCGTTCGAAGAAGCTTCTATATGGAAAAGGATGTAGGTATAAATGCTCTTTTGCACACCAGCACAAAGTTCCAGCTTTGAAATTTGAAGAGTGTTTTTCTGCAATTTTTCGAAAAAGCCGCTCTGACCTATTCCGCATAATTATAAAGCCACCCCATACTTTCTCGTTGCCTTTCCTTCCTGCTCGATTGATTTTTTTTGTTGTTATCCACACTTCGTCTTTAGGTGAAAACGAGAGGGAAACCGTCACCATAATTTGAATAAAGGGAAATCGTAACAAAAATCGTGAAAGAGTTGAGAGGCAGTCGCACTGCCCGAATTTCGGGCCAGGTTCGCTTCAGAGTAAACAATTTCTTCGAGCATTGTGCAGGATATGGAGTAAAATTGAGCCTCGGAGATCGTTCGTGCTTTCGGATTCAGATAAACGCCGCCTCATAAGAAAATCGAACAGTTCCACCAATTTGTGCTTGGAAATCAAACCTTATTTGAAACTTAAATCTCCAGCAGGTGCCTGTTCGGCGTCTGTGGCAGAACTGCAAGTTCATTCACGAGTGAGAAATGTAAAGCGCATTGTTTATGACAACAAAACATCTCAAAAACCGGGACAGTTTTGTCAAGAAGTGAAGCCGAGCGACTGGAGTGAGGTCGGTTCCTTACCTGTCATTTCTCACAACTTACCTGCCTTTCTTCCGAAGTTCTTTACCTCCAGGATACGCTTCTCCATGAGAAGAAGTTATCTAGAGTAAGAAAATGTTTCGAGAAAGGGAGACAAGGCGCAGGAAGTGACAGATAAAAACCCGACCTAACTCCGGTCCGCTCGGCTTCACTTCTTGACAAAATTGTCCCGGTTTTTCGAGATGTTTTGTTGTCATAAACAATGCGCTTTACATTTCCAAGTCGTGAGTGAACTTGCAGTTCTGCCACAGACGCCGAACAGGCACCTGCTGGAGATTTAAGTTTCAAATAAGGTTTGATTGCCAAGCTTAAATTGGTGCAAGTGTTTGATTTTCTTATGAGGCGGCGTTTATCTGGATCCGAAAGCAACGAACGATCTCCGAGGCTCCATTTTACTCCATATTTTGCACAATGCTCGAAGAAATTGTTTACTCTGAAGCAAAGCCGGCCCGAAATTTGGGCAGTGCGACTGCCTCTCAACTTTTTCACGATTTTTGTTACCATTTACCTTTATTTTGATTGTGATGACGGTTTCCATATTGTTTTCGCCTAAAGACGAAGCATAGATAACAATAAAAAAATTTAGTCGAGCTGGAAAGAAAGGCAACAAGAAAGTATGGGGTGGCTTTATAATTATGCGGAATAGGTCAGAGCGGCTTTTTCGAAAAATTGCAGAAAAACACTCTTCAAATTTCAAAGCTGGAACTTTGTGCTGGTGTGCAAAAGAGCATTTATACCTACATCCTTTTCCATATAGAAGCTTCTTCGAACGCATCTTAGGAAAAGAGTTTTTGCAGAAAACATAGGTGGCTTTATAATTATGCGAGCAGTGTGTATATATATTATATATATATATATATATATATATATATATATATATATATATATATATATATATATATATATATATATATATATATATATATATATATATATATATATATATATATATATATATATATATATATATATATATATATATATATATATATATATATATATATATATATATATATATATATATATATATATATATATATATATATATATATATATATATATATATATATATATATATATATATAATTATATGTATCGTATACTTACGATAATTCGGTAGAGCGAATTCATTGTTTACGATCTCTGCATTATACGTCATTTTCTACGTCGATGATAGGGACTTTTCTTCTCTACAACAATTTTGAGTGTCTCATTCTGTGCATCAGAAGAGTTCGCACTCAAAGTTATGACTGACACCTTTTTTCGACAAGACTGATAAACGTTTGTTTTTATTGATACTGTTTTAGTCTTGGGCTGTTTGCATCTGCCGATACAGCATACGTCCTTGCATATTCGATATAATGCTTTAAGCGTCACTACGCTACCGACCTACACAGTGCGCAAGTAAGTTTACTTGTTGCTTTCTACTAATTTATTTCATTACTTTACGTTAAAAATTCTGTTTATTTATTCACAGCTTTCGAAATATATAAGTTCTAGTGCAACAGGCGCTGGTCTTGCTCGAAAAACCTGACAGGCCTTTTCAAATTTCATTTGTTTTATTTACAAATAAATAATTGGAATTGTGAGATAGTGGTCTCGAGTGAGCTTTTTTATCGGTAGCTCTAGCTGTCTTCAAAGAAAGACCCCCCTTATTTTCCGTTTCTGACCGCAGAAATCACCTTTTCTCAAGAAGCGTTCGCTTCTCTCTCTAAGTGTAGAAGTGTTATTTACCCTCTACCATATCATTTGTTTTTCTGATAGTAATCGTTACCATGGTTTGTTTATTTCTCCAAATTTTCTCAGTGAGATCTTCACAAGACCTATAGATCATATTATTTTGATTATTAATAAATGCTGCAATTGATGCTTAAGGTGAAAAGCAAAATGACGAAGGAGCAATACGTGAACATGAATCGCGGAATCAATAATGGGGCAGACTTACCGCCTGACGTATTATGTGCGATATATGACGACATTGCGACGAACGAAATTAAAATGAAAGCTGGTGCTAGCAAACTTCTCAAAAGTGAGTGCTCAGATTTCGAGTATTCTGCAATGTTCAAGTTGGACAACTGAATACTTGATGATCTTGCAGCAAGGAAAGCCGGTGCTGGAGATAACGATAAGCAGCGTCGAGCTATGGCTACCTTGGAGCTGGCAGCCATGTCTGAAACAGCTAGGGCCCTAATGGAAAGTGCAAGTAATGCAGCTGCTGATTTCACGTCGGCACAGCATCAGCACCATGTGCGCCCCATGTTCAAAGTGAGGAAATAGCTCCGCGTAAGCGAATTCACTTTATTTATTCTGCGTTTATCGCTACTGTTACAGATTTGCTGGACTCCATGCTTAGCGGCCTTCAGTGTCGGTTTACAAATGTCTGATGACGTAGAAGAATGGTATCTTTGTATACGTGGTTTCCGCTTAGGAGTGCGTGCTGCATGCGTACTCCGAGCGAAACTAGAACGAAATGCTTTCATTCAGGTACTGGTTTCCCTATGCTTCATTTGAAATATCTATTTGCTTCGCAAGCGAGGTCTAATCGATGGCTCGAAATTTTCGAAGGTCTCTGTATTCGTTACAGAAAAGAAGTAATCACGTATTCAGGCGCTAGCAAGGTTTACGCTTCTTACTGCTAAGAATGCCCTTGGAGAAATGAAAGAGAAGAACATTGAAGCTATTAAGCTGCTTTTAGCCATTGGTATGTTGCAATCGACTTCACTTGGTCGCCCGTATCTTTTTTGAAGTTATTTTAATTGCTTCTATCTAAAGTTATTTTCTTGAAATGTTGTACTGTGAGAGCAGTTTTGCAGGTGACGAAGATGGCGATTATCTTGAAGAAAACTGGATGGATGTAATCAGATGTATCAGCCAGCTTGAGCTTGCACAACTTATTGGAACAGGCTTGGGTGCTAGTGCTAAGGAGGACAAGGAGAGCAGTCGCCAGTGTGAGTTCCGATAGTTTCTTGCTTTTTTTGTTTGCTTCGCTTTTGTTTTGTTTTCTATGGAGGAGGTTGAATCGTTCTTCTCCCGTTCCTTAATTTTCTTTTTTGCGAAGATTATTCTTTCCTATTTTGTGCTTCTTTTTCTGACGTGCTGCACTTCATGCTTCATGGTTAGACACCTTCTGACAGAATTTATCAGTGCTTACTCGTCTTTTGTCGTGAAGCTATCGTCCTTTGATATATTTATTTATTTATTTATTCGCCAGTTTGACGGCTCAGGCCACGCGTAATTATACAACAATTCCTAAATGATATGGAATGGGCAACCGGAATTTTCTTTCACGCATTGATGCACCTCCCGGCTACCACCCGCGTTTGACAACTCCTCCTCCGCTGACATCCATCCGCTTTTTCCTGGCTCTGGGCTCTCATAAACACTCTAAAATTTTGGCATTGAGCTCTGCTCACGTCCGTGCACGTCCCACTCACCTTCAATCCTTATCGTCCCTTCCACTGTCCTCCTTTTTTCGGGCTCCGAAAATTTGCGAAACCGAACCATGAGACTTCGTATCAAAACTTCAGGCATGCTTAGCATACAGTGAATATGGATTGTTGCGACTGGCATTTTTTGGCGCACCTTCCGTCCCTATGCGTGTGTAGGAGTTGTCAAATTTGAAATGGGCACATATGTAGGGAGCACTCGTGAAACAGGGGATGTACAGTCAGGGAGATATCGCGTCTAGATACAATACTGGTTCCTGACTGGGGGTAGATCATTGTGCACAGTAGGAGCAGCTACTATTTGTTCGTTCATAATTCATCCACTCACATCAGTAACGAAAAAAAAACAATGTATAGGGATATATTACTGTGCACATGGGGCACATCATTGAAAGTACTAGCAACATAGGCTTTTAACTTGAGACATGGAAAGGGGAAAATACATGCAAATGTACAATGGTATAGTGTAGAGGAGTGGCTATTGAAGGGGAACAATATTGAGAGAACACGGGTGAAAAAAGTGGACGACTTCACAGGCAAGTCTATAAATGCTTCCGCCTCTTCGTGAGGATTTTTTTCTGGAACTTTTATCGGATTAGGAAAGCCAATTAAGTGCAGCTAGCAATTGTGTTCTATTCTAATTTCCCTATAATCTAACTTTTAATCTAGGTTAACGTTGGGTGTAAGATCAAAGTGCACATTTAAGAGCGCAAAAAAGCGTACTTTAACACATTCACGACGCCCCCCCCCTTTCCACTTTCGGTCGCGTGGACGGACGCGATTTTTGGGCGCCGCCGCCTCACCACATAACCGCAGATTTTGTTTTGTAAATGAACAAAAACATGAATGTCACAAAATAATTTCTGCAATGTCCAATGCGATTATCTAAACATATAACAGTAGGATTTCGATCAGAACGACAAATAGTGGTTACGAAAAGAGAGCATTTATTCACTTTCCCCGTGAAGGAATTTAAAAGCATTTTACACTCGATTACGAGATTTGCCCACCTATCTGTCCATTCCTAGCGCCTGGCAAGCGATTATCAGTTGGCAGCCCATATGGGCTGCCATCGTCCCAGGAGCACATGTTGTTGGCAGCCCATATGGGCGGCCATCGGCGTGAATGTTTAAAGCAGGGAGAACTGTGGGATTGGGGGAGGTGGATTCGAAGCCGGCTGCTACCAGTCGACTTTCATGTGCGCGTATCAGATTGACCAGCGTTTGCTCAGCTTACTTGCTTATTCATTTCCTAGAAAGTGAGCGAGAGAGACTTCACATCAAAAAATCAAAAAAAAAACTTGAAAGAAGAAGATGTTCGATGGAATGGTCAAATTCTCGTCAGCAACTGAGAAGTTGCGCTGCCAAAAAAAGTAGTGTAAGGCAAGTTGAGTAAATTCAAAGTAACGTGGTTGAGAACTAAAAAATCTTATAGAGGAGTTTTGAGGTTTTAAACTCGCCTGAAGGGCGACTGATCTCTGCACTTTCTCCGTAGGAAGATAGTAGCTTGCTCTTTGTTACTTTCAGTGCGCCTCTGATTGAGATCTATGGCTGGGCACATGATATTCTTAACCTGGAAATCGCAGAATTTTGTTAGGGCGCTTGATTTTGTAGACGGTTCATTTCCTAGATTCCTGCTATTGCAGATGTGATGAAGAGCACAGGTGCTATTGACGAGCGTACCTTGGCTACACTTCAAGACGCTCTCGGCGAGACCAGCTCCCAAGCTGTTGTAGTAGCTGTGGATAGGTGCGCAATTTACTGAATTGATGGTGCATTTGAGGAGCACCGCTTTGGTACTAATACTTTAGTCCTAGGAAGTACTGACCTTTCACTTATTTTCAGAATTTTCCAAGGCTCTTGTCGATTATCTGCTGATGCCATAGTTTCATTTGTTCGTGCACTCTGTGCGGTCTCCAAGGAAGAATTGAACCAACCAGCAGCTCCACGCATGTTCCTCCTCGGAAAACTCGTTGAAGTACCCGAGCTTCACATATTCATAACTTTTTTGTTTTTTTTTTGAAAGCTATTCCATTTCTGAAATGCTATCTGCTCGTTAAGGTGGCTTTTTACAATATGGGTCGTATACGTTTGGAATGGCGACGGATTTGGGAAGTTGTTGGTGAACACTTCAATATGGCAGGTGCGTAATTCTTCCAGCGCGCACAATAGCCAATTAATCAACGTCTTGTCTCAGGTTGCAACGCCAGTGAAATTGTTGCCCACTATTCCGTCGATGCATTGAGACAATTAGCAATCAAGTTTCTTGAGAGGGGAGAATTGCCAAATTTCCGTTTCCAGAAAGACTTCCTCAGGCCGTTTGAGGTTCGAACACTATTTTGCCTCTTGAACCTAAATCGAACATGGAAATTTTGGTTATTTTCCAGGTTATTATGGCGAAAAATCGTTCAGCACAGACACGAGAACTGGTAGTCGCGTGTTGCTCAAATCTTGTTGAAGCCCATGCTCCTCGGATAAAATCCGGCTGGCAGAACTTATTTTCTGTCTGGACCCTGGCAGCTGGTTCGTTCAGTTTTGATGTTCGTAGTGTATTTACCCTGTCGTGCAGTACATGGGGAAGGTGAGGGGGAGGGCGAAAGGCGCTAGACTAGACAGCAACTCTTTTGTAATGGTAGTGCCGTCGATTAGGAACGCCGCGCGCTGCCGCACAGTCACAAATAAATCATGTGGGCGGCAATGAGCTCGCAGGCCCGGCTCACATGGGTTGATCTTTGAGGGGGTTGACTTCTTCCAGAACTCGAACGATTAAAATTTAAAGGTTGAAGCTGTTCTCTATGGCTAACTCTACACTAAATTCTCGCCAATACCTTGGCTGAATTCGATTGCTCCTCACTCACTCCAGTTCCAATGAGAACGCAGATGTCGACGCAAGCAAGTGGTAATCGTTTTGATTCGATCGTACCGCGAATATTGATGGGCAATGCTCGATTGATTTCTCTTGAGCTAATGATCTCTTAAAGTAGCTCCTAACGACTACGCAAGGAATTTTTTCGTCTCGAATCACAGAAAGATAGCCAGCGCCTTTTTTTGGATGGTCATGAATCTCTCCATTCCTTTCAGGCTCTTGTAAGGACGTTTCCGATCGTTAAGTATCACTAAAGAAGGGTTGTTCATATCAAACCTGCATTTAAATGCCATCGAATGAACCGAGAACAGTGGTTATGCCAGTTCCTTGCTGCGAATTTTATCACACAATCCTGTGTCACCCTCGTGACTCCTTACTGTATGTGTGCGAAACAGCCTGATATCCGCTGTAATGCGTGTGGGGAGAAGGGGATATGGTTTCCGAAAATTCAAACCAAGAACAGCTCGCATTGTGGAAGAGAATTCACCTCTTCTCCAAGACCTAATAATCCTACTGGCATCTTTTAAAACAATTAGTAAAGCGATGCACTAATTTTGCTCAGTAAAAAGTGTCTCAAGACCCAAGCGTGAGCAAACTCAATAAAGACTACAGTCTTGTAATCATGTAAATCACTCTCGATTTGATAAGGCGAGTTAGCTTGAAATTCAAGAAGTAGAATGTGTTCGCTTATGCAAAAACACAGTGTTCTTACAGGCATGTCCAGAAGAAATAGTTGAAGCAGCATTTTTGGCGAGCTCAAGAGTAGTTATGTACCAATTCAAGGATGACTTTGCCTCAGTTCTCGATGCGTTCCAAGTAAGTCAGCAATTTATGCTTCTCAAGTAATAGTGATCATGCATGTCATAAGGGAATAGCATAGGAACCCAGCCGCAGTGTACGAAACTTGCAGCCTAGTTTAGTTGGTATGAAAAAGGGCCGAGCCTGCGTCTGTGATGTCTGAATAACGTTCGGCAAGAGATAGCTATTACAGCATATAAAAATTAAAAGCTCGCCCGGGGGACCCTGCAAGCGAATGCCAGCCGCGAAATATAGAACGACCATGACACTGAGTATGTCGCAGTTTCGCGCGCGCTCGCGAGTTTTAGCTTCGATGGCATGACAACGATCAGAGTAAGACTCATCCACCACCCATGCAGGCCCTCTGACGTACGGACCTTTTGGGTTTGATATTGGCAAGATCGCCCTCAACTGGGGGAGGTAGTTTTATTAGGTACTTTATATTGGCTAAGCAACGTGCTTTGTCGTGTCGGTCTGCGGCTAAAGTAACCCTGCAATTACTCAATAGTCACAATTTATGTTTGTTTTTAATGCAACCCTCCTGCATACGCATATATTGATTCAGAAGATGCCACCAACATTTTTCCACAACGATTTTGCGCAGTGCGAGCGCTAGTGAAACTTACTGTATTCTCTTTGGTGAAGGCTTCAAGGTTAGGCATGCCAGACCTTCATCTTAACTTTTTCAGGAAGCGTTGAAATGTTTGGCGGAATTCGCGTGCAATACAAACCATCCCGACATGAATATGGAGGCGATACGCCTGATTCGATCTTGTGCTGAGTGGGTTTTTGAGCAAAATGTTTTGTTTCTTCCTCCTACTCTTCCAAGAGTCTACTTAATTTCAGATACGTCTCCATTAATCAAGAGCGAATCATTGACGCACCTTGGGAAGAATCGTGGAGCGTGTCTGGTGACCAACGTATATGGCTTCGTGGCTGGTTTCCGATTTTCTTTGAATTGAGGTCGGTTCACTTTGGATTTTGTGCCAAAATATTCAGGACCAGCAAGAAAGTTTTTTTCTGCTCATGTAGTCTTCTTCACCCCCATAGTCTCGTCTTGGGAGCCAACCCCATATTACGAATAATATCAGTTTTTTTCGACAACCGTCATGATTTTTACCTTCCCATGCATGCAACCCACTCGCTTATTTCCGAGTCGAGAGGTAAATAACTCGTGGACTCTATGCATTATCAATAGTGGAAGGCTTTTATGACGGAGGAAGTTGTTATGACTATCAATAGCATCTCCTTAAATTAACTTCTAAGTATTAATTCGGTTCCCCCTTATGTCATGGATTGGCTTCCCAATCACCTTCTCTTAAAGCTGGTGTCAGAGTCCGCGATCCGTCGCGCGATTCGCGTGGACTAGCCTAACTCCGCGTGCCACTCACATGTTGTGAAGTGGGTAGTAGTCTGCTCACATACCTGTCTTATGGAGCAGTTGGAGGGTAATCAAAATCACAAGGACTCTTCCACATCTCTTCCCGATTATTGGTACCACATAACTAAATTGATTACTGAACTGTTTCCTAGCTCTGTTGGCGGTCGATTCCTGGTAATAGATTCGATACCACCCGTGAAGCCTACTGGGAACGAGCAGAAGGGCTGCACGCAAACCAGCATAGCCCACTAAGTTAGTATTTTATATAGTCTCGGTTGAAGGAACTGTCGAAGAGCGGATTGGGGCATGGGCGGTAGTACGGCGACCGCAAGTAGGGCTCTACATCAACCCCCACGAAACTTAGTAGTTCCCGGCTCGGCTGCAAACGCCATATTTTTTAACTGACCCTGCAGGCCATTGCCTTAGCCATATGTACACCCATTTGGAATTGAATTTGGAATTTGAATTTGAATGGAAGTCAAATGCATCACGCATCCCGCAGAAAAAAATTGAATAGTGTCAGCATGTTTGTCGCTTTTTCCATCCGATTGTTTTTAGTTGTATCATAAACCGATGCAAATTGGACGTGCGTACGAGAAGCCTGACCGTGATGTTTGAAATAATAAAAAGCCATGGCAGTGAGTTCCGGCCGGAGTGGTGGCGTGACCTGTTCAATATCGTATTTCGTATATTCGATCATGCAAAACTGGATGAGAATCGAGGAGACGTGAGTTTATTGGATTTTTGGAAAAAAAAGTGATTTCCCCAGAAGGTTCGATTCAGAAGAAGGAGTGGATGATGACGACCTGCAATCATGCTATGTACGCCATTGTTGACGTGTTCACGCAGTACTTTCCGCAGCTTTCCGAGCTGGTATTACCTTCGATTTACGAGCAGTTCGCTGTCTGTATCCAACAAAGTGAGTCTTAAGAAAAATATGTGAAGTACAGCTGTGAATTTTTCGAGCGCTTATTTGGAGAGCTCGAATCTTTTCGAAAGTAATTACAGATGGTTCAAACCCTACAAGGTAATGTTTTCAGGCTTATCCTCTTCTCCAAGTTCTAAATGTTTCAGTCATATTTCTTCAAGCTTTTAAGGGGTAGCTTGTATACTGTTGTTTACCATCTGACTTTTTTTGCTTTGGAAATCTATAGCTATACCGCATATTTCAATGCTTATTGTAAGTCTTCACAAGTTTTTTAGCATAAAA